GTCTGTGCGTGCTGTCTGTGAGTGTGCATGTCTGTGAGGGTGCCGTCTGCGCACCTGTGCATGCGTGTTGATGTGTGCTGTCTGCGTGTCTGTGCAGGTGCTGGGTCCGAGCCGCTGCGCAGTGCTCGCGCACACAGGGCCTGCGAGGCGGCCCTCGAGCCTCACCAGCTGGATGATGTTGGAGACGCTGAGCCAGGTGGCCGGCTTGATGTTCTCACCGCCCTCCACGAGGCCCTCGTAGCCCTGCAGCCGGAGGAACAGGCGTGAGACAGCAGCCCACAGTGGCTGACACGGCCTCCTGGGAGACAGAGCTCGGGACCGCGGCCAAAACCTCACGAGCAGGAAGCAGGCCAGGGTGCCACCCCCATGCCTGGCAGCCCAGGGCTCCCAGCAGAGTAATTCACGCTGCAGACGACAGCCCCACCCGCACACTCCCTGAGTGTCCCCAAGCTGAGCTCAGGTCACTCCTCCCGCATGGGACAGACAAGCCCACCACCTTCTTCCGGCCTCCTGATGGCCAATTCGACCTGCTCACGTGAACTCGGTGGCAGTGGCGGGACACTGTCCACAGCACACTGAACACACCCCTGCCGTGCACACTCCCCGCTGGGCACACAGGGGGTCCAAAGGAGGCCACGAGAACACACGTGCCCCCGCAGAGACACCGTGCGTTCTGGGATGGAGAGCCCACCCGAGGGGACGTGAGGGTCCCTGAACGCGTGGGGAGCCATCCAGGGCCATGCTCCACAGCGCCCCAAGCGTGTGCCACCGGCCTCCACAGCCCCCAGCGTGGACAGCACCAGTCTTCCCGTCCTGGCAGCTGGGGCTCAGCCCCTCGTAGGGGACACTGCCTGAACATCCCAGGTGACAGCTGCCACCGGCCGCCTGGCCAGCACAGGGCCGGCTCCACACACGGCGGCACCTGTCTGGAAGAGGGGTGTCACCCAGTGGGCCAGACAAGGACACGTGGGCTCCACAGAGGAGGCCAGAGGCACACACCCCCAGCCTCCGGGACCCACGGCCTCCCTGCCCGTGGGTCACGCAGATGTGCCACCCTCTGCACGGCCACCCCCGAGGGCCCCGCTCAGCTGGAGGACAGAGAGAGGCACCGCCAGAGGGCCGCAGGGCGCCTGTCCTGGCCAGCCCAGGCCCAGCCTTCCGCAAGCCAGGCCCCCAGCCCCGCACACCACCATCAAGGGACCGTGAACATACAGGGCCCACAAAGCCAGGGCCGGCAGGCGGGTCAGCTCGTGGGAGGGACGCTCCACTCAGCACAGCGTCCTCCTACCCAGGCCCTCCCGCCTGTCTCTGCCCCTCGCCCTGTGCCTTCTGCCCGTGCCCAGCCTGGCCCAGGCAGCCTCCGAGGTGGTCTTACAGCCGGGCACTCGGCAACTCCCACAGCTCTTCCTGAGGGAGCCCCAGACATGCAAGTCCAACGCTGTTCTTGGGGAACACAAGCCACCCCCACTGCCTGAGCCGTGATAACTCTCCCCCACAAGGCTTTCCTCCAGAAAGGAATCAGCAGGCCCACTTTTTTTGTTTCCTTCTATTTTTTGAGACAGGGTCTCACTACATAGCCCAGGCTGGCCTCAAACTCATGGCATTCCTCCTGCCTCAGCCTTCCCAGTGCCGGCATTACAGGCATGCGCCACCACATCTGGTGTGTTAGGCCCACTTGGCAGAAGAAACTGAGGGTCCAGGAGGACCCTGCCCAACACTTGAGCCAGCCCCCTGCCAGCTTCCAACCGTGTCCTGCACTCTGTGGGATCTGCAGGGTGCCTGGAAGGGATGAGCCTCGCCCAAGTGCCCACGTGTTTATTCATCCCCTGTCCCTGGGAGCAGGGCTGGGTGTGGCCCCACCATAACCAGGGGCCAGGTGAAAGGACAAGGCCACACCAAGGGGGAGGGCCGGGCGCTGCACCACACACAAAGAGCAACGACAACACAGCTGGAGGCTACCGGAACCCACAGACCACGCTGGATCCCAGCCCGTGAGAAGAGGCCACAGCACGCAGGGCCGCTGCCAATCCAAAACAGGGTCGCCCGCTGCCGCCGGGGACAGAACCAACCAGGACAGTGCAGCTAGACCCCACAGTGGGCCCCTGGGCTCAGCTCACAGAGGCCCCGCCGGGTGACACAGGACAGGCACCAGGGTGGAGGGGCCCAGGGATACCACAGAGCAGGGCCAGCTCTGCTGCCCGCTCTCTCTCCGTCCCACAGGCACCATCTGCTGTTTGCAGCGCCTCTGCCCAGCCCCCTTTCCCGGCCCCCAACCGTGCCCACCCTGCTGCCCTGGCCACCAGTTGTCCAGGGTGACTGGGGCTGCACCACACAGAAGCCACAGTCCCTGCAAGGACACGGGAGCCACCCTGCTGCTCATGGCCTTACCTCATAGATGAGAAACACCTTGGCACCCACGTATATGCCCATGCGGGTCACGGCCCTGACGGCGGCATTCATACCTGCACAGAGATGGGGCCAGCCATCAGGGGAGCCTCAGGGCGCTGGACATCCGACCACTGCCCACCGCCCCGGGGCTCCGTGCCGGGGAATTCAGACACAGAGGGAGCGCCTCGTCCGCTGCAGGACTCCAGGCCAGGACGTGGGGACAGGAGGCGCTCACTCCCACAGGCTCGAAGGCCCTAAGGTTTGCGCTCCGCCTGGTGCTGAGATACAGGACCGGCCCGGGCCAGCGGTCAGGGGAACAGCAGGGGCACCACTCCGTCCAAGGGAGGCCGTGGGGCTGCTACCCTGGTCCATCGCAGCCAGAGCCCCCAGCTGCTCAGCCCCAGGCCTCACCACACCCTGCCCAGCAATGTATGTGGCACCTGTGCACCCAGGAGGGGGCCAGGCCCCTGAGCCTGTGCCCTCCCTGCTGGGACACCCTGCAAGAACTCCAGGTCCCCGAAGACCGCATGGCCCCCACGGGGCCCTCAGCGTGTGCCCTCCGCTGGCCTCCGGCAGGAAGCACAAGACATGCAGGGGACCACAGAGGGTGGGGCCAGGGCCACCATCCGGCCTGAGGGTCTCTCTGGCACCCCCAGGCTCCGATGGCATCCACAGGCTGCCGGGCCACCTCACCATCAGTCTGGGGGGTGTGCAGCACCCCGGGGACAGCAAAGGCTGGGGCGGGGTGAGGAACTTCGGGACACTGCAAAGCCAGCCCTCTGTGACAGCCGAGATGACACTGCAGCCCAAACCCAGCTGTGTGTACAGCACACCCAAGAGCACGGTGACCACGGGACGTGAAAACTGTGTCCCAGTGGGGACGATGCTGCTGCCATGGAGACAGCCAGCTGAGGGCAGGCGCCGGGGCCTCCAGGAAGCTGGCTCTTCAGGGCCTTTCTGGTTGCCCTTTCATCTGCTTCTCATCCTCGGAATAAACCCTGGGCAGCAGCCTAGCCCGGTCAGAAGGGCACGAGGGACAGGGACTGGCACTGCCCCTCAGCTGGCAGGCAGCCACCATCCTGGGGCCGAGGGACACTACGTCTGAGGTCCCCGCTGTGATCACTCTGGGCAAGAGGACGATGCACACAACCGCAATGGACGCCACAGGGCTTGCCGGTGCCGCATTCAGGGGCCAGCCCACCGGCAGACCCCGGGAACCCACAAGGACATGTGCGGGGAAGGAGGGGCATGGCGCCCAGTCCCGCAGGCACAGATGGAAAACGAGGGGCCACGTGACCAGCAGGGACGACAGCGCCCACCATTCAGGCGCAGGGAGGGGCTCGAAAAAGTGGCCAGGAGGTTGCCATGGCTACGCCAGAGAGGAGAGACGAGGGTGGAGCCAGGCTGGCGGGCCAGGCTGCTTTCAGGTCTCCCACAACTTCTGCACAAATCACTGTGATTACGGACAGCGGCAGTGGCCACCACCTTCCCGCCGCTGCCCCCACTGGCGGACCACAGGAAGAGAGGCTCAGGCTGCCTGGCAGGACTTCCCGGCCGGCTGCGAGGGCCTGCGCGAGGGCCTGTCATCCGTCCCCACTGTCCTCGCAGAGCGGGGCACGGAGGCCCGAAGACTTGGGCCACACAGCCGGTCCGCGCTGGCTGGCCCTGGAGTCCAGATCTGGTGTCCGGGCGGTGAGGCTGAGGGACCCCACGTGGACAGGGCTATGGGGAAAGAGTGCCCCCAGGTCCCCACCCCCAGCCACTGTCAGCTCAAATAGACACTGAGGGCATGGGGAGGGCACGTGCAGCCCGGGCTGCCCTCCAGGGTCATGTCACAACCAGGCAGCTCCCGGGAACTCACACAACAGAAGGCCCTGCTGTGACCGACTCCAGCGGCCAGCTGCCACCCTGCCCTAGTGACCCAGCCCTGCACCATGTCCCACATCAGCCTGTGCGCTGACAGGAAGGGGGTCTGGGTCTCCTTCCCCCCTCAGCGTAGCCCCAGGCCCAGCCCCAGGTCCATAGTGGGCACACAGACAGCACACAGGGGCTCCAGAACGAGGGCCTGGGCAGGACACAGGTGGTCAGCCCGCAGGTGCTCTGATGAGCACACTCCCAAGCGTCCACGGGGAGAGGACCCAGCCAGGAGCCCCTCAGGCAGACTCTGCCCAACCTTGCAGCACCCTGGCCTGGGCCAGGAGGGGTCTCCCAGCCCTGCCCTCCAGCAGCCTCCAAACCGCTTATCTGCCGCCCTGGGTGGCCCTGCCAACGGGCCCCTTGGTGGGAGGGGGCAGGAACACATCCTGCTCGGCTTGAAGCACGCCCTTCATGCCTCCCCACCCTCAGACGCTGCTGCCTCCTGCTGCTCCCCAAGTCCCCCCTGCCCTGGCCCCTTGCCCAGCCCTGGCCCCTGCCCTCCCAGCTGGCAGAACTCTCCAAAATGGTCACGGACCAGCAGCAAGCCCTCAGTGCCGTGGCTGTGCAGAGGGCAAGCAGACCGCAGACCGCAGACACGCCAGGCCAGGACCCGGATCTGAGGGTCACGCCTGCAGGCCGATGTCCTCCCGGATCTCACCCGATCCTAGCTGGGGCCCCACAGGACCTGGCTCCTGGGGCGGGGGTCCTGCATTCCTCAGCTGCTGCTCACTCAGGGGACAGACCCAGCCCAGCAGCAGGGCCTGAGGGTGTGCCTGGCGCCGGCACCACTGCTCTCTCCTGCCTCGGGTGGCTGGCTCCACAGGTGGCACCCTGCCATCCCAGCCCTGAGGCCTGGAGGACAGTGGAGGGGAGCCAGGCCACAGGAGCGGGGCTCCAGGCCAGGCTCCCACCAACCTGCCAGGCTAGTAGAGGCGACGCGAACAAGTGCCCGCCACCAGGACTTGGCTAAGGAAACCCCAGCCCGGGACACTGCCCGCCCCCTCCACACTCGGGCTCCGATTAAAAGGTACAGGGAGGAGCCCAGCGGTAGAGGCCCCGGGGCGTTTGTCCCCATCCCAGCAGGAACGAGGGAAGCCGGCGGGGAGCAGGGCAGCGGGGCCCTGGGGGCCTGGGGGCCGTCCTGCGGGTTCCCCGCCGGGCCCCTGCTGGCGCTCGGAGATCCGGCTCGGTCGCACGTGTCGCCCAGCGCAGGGCGGGCACGGTCACACCCCCGGGACTGGAAGGCGGAGC